CGACCCACACGACCCACACGACACACACACACACACACACACGAGGAGAGTGGGACAAGCGGAGACGGCAGAGGCCTACAGGCGAATGGAGTACACCTATAAGCGCTTTCACGGCATCTGTGGCGAAGCTGCCTGCGTGCCCTTCGCTGCGGTGGTGTGCGCCAAGGTCGATCTCGCCGGCGAGGTTCGCATGCAAGCGATGCCCGCACAACGCCTTGAGCTCTATGCGCGTCGCTTCTAAGAGATCTGACGCGCACCACCGCATGCGCCGGCGACTCACACAGGAAGTTCACCTGAAGTTGCGATGCCCATGTTCAACTGGTACCAAGACGCACGGGCGACAACGATCGGCACCAATGCCGTGCAGCCCTCTGATTGGGACACCGCCCTGAAGCAGCTCCTGTGGTGCGCCCCCAGCCCCCCCGAACCGCGGCCGGGCATCCCTCACCTCTCTTTCGGCATTCAGTTGCATGTATCCTTTGCATGGGGGCGACCTGTACATGCTGCGTGTGGCATGAGCAAGGCATCCTGCTGCACTATGACATCAAGCCAGGCTGCGCCTCCCAGCAGCTCCACGCCACTCCACATGGCCAAGCCCTCTCCTTCATCCAGTCTTGTACAATGTGCCGTACAGTTCCCCACATTGGAGATCACCCGGCGAAGACGAAGCTGCGCAGCTTGACCTCCTCGAGCATGCGTCCCTCCTCCAGTGCGTCGATCTGGTCGTGCGGCCGACTGACCAGGTCCTGGGTGAGCGCAGCCGAGAGGAATTCGAGGAACTCCTCGGCCGCCACCGTCACGCCGATCCGGTGCGGCCCGGCCTCATCCAGCACGAACGTCGAAAATCCCGCCCTGTAATTTATAGACACATTTGCAGCAAATGAATCAAACAAATAACTAAATATGAAAAAGAAAACGAGTTGTATTTTATTTTATTTTATTATCACAATACAAAAAATAGATAATAAAATGGATGGAGTGGCGTACCATTCGTGGATCATGAGGTGTCCTCGTGCATACTTGACGAACCGATCTACAAGCGCACACGCACGACCGCAACACAACACGCACACACCCAACCGCACACGCCGAGAGCACGCACCCGATCAGCCAACCGAACATTTTTTTTTGGGTGATGAGGGCGGAGGCTGGACGCGGTCCGCACCGGGGTAGATGGCTTCGGCGACGGTGAGGGCGTCGTGCGGGCACGTTCCGCGTACATCGCGGAAGAAGATGCCGCTCCGGTAGTACAGCCATGTCTTGAGCAGCCGCCCGACCACCTCGCTCTCCGGCGGGGCGGTCGCCTGTTCGCCAGTTGTGTGCCGTGTGTGTCGCATGTCGTGTCGTGTCGTGTCGTGTCGTGTCGTGTCGTGTCGTGCGAAACGAGGCCTGCTGACGTGGTACGTACGTGCATGAGCGCGAGGCAGGGGTCGCCGGTCCACCAGAGCTTGTTGGTGACGGCGTCGTTGATGACGTCGATTCGAAGGCCCTCGGTGCCGAACACGCGGGCGGCGGCCAGTGTGTCCGACGAGATGTTGTGGTTCGGGTAGTGGTGGTACACTAACAACACGAGCACATCAGCACATCAGCACACGACACACGCACAACCGCACACACGGCGCACGGCGCACGGCACACGGCACACGACGATCGAGGGGGAGGGAACTGACCGTGTCCGGGCTCGAAGGGGTCGGTGGGCGACTTGAAGGGGAAGTCCTCGGTTTGGGCCTCTTTCATGCGATGGCCCATGCCCATGTACACCAGCCGCTGCAAGAACACCCACGCACGCAGACATCACTGTTCAGCTCCTTGCGTGTCGTGCGTTGTGTGTCGTGTGTGTCGTGTGTCGTTGGCTGTGTGTGTCGCACGCACCATGTTGGTGGCGATGCCCGGATCCAGCGCCAGAGCCTCGGCGATGTTGGTGAGTGCGCCCAGCCCGATTACCACCACCTGCACGGGAACGTTTGGGCCATGACGTCAGCAGAACTTGGAGCCCGATGAGCTTTTCGATTGCGGGGAGATAGCCTGCTGTACCGGCCGGGGGTGGTGCTCGCGGACCGTGCTGGCGATGAACCGCGCGGCGTTGCCCTTCTTTGCGGCCTTCTTGTCGCCTGTTTTTTCCTATCGAACATTAGTGAACACAGCGCACACAACGCACACAGGGCACACAACGCACACAACACAGGAAAAGCAATCACTGTGACGCTGTACCGCATTCTTTCTTCTGGGCGGCCATCATCTGATCGATCTCGTCGAGCGGGAACAGGCCCATCCCCTCCGTTCCCGTGTGCCACACGTCTCGGTGCGTCCTGGACCCGAGGCACCACCAGCCACCACCAGCCCGATCGCTCTTGTTAGCTCAGATTGTGTCGCACACGCACGCGCACCACCACCGCACGCGCACTCATGCACACACCCGAGTTCGACGCCGTGACCGGCGATCACAGGAATTCGCGGCGGATCTGACGGCGGCTTTGGCTGGTGTTCTTTGGCTTCCTCGCCCGCTTCCGCTTCGTCGTCTTCGTGTTCGTTCTTTTCGCTTTTGCTTTCGTTCTTTTCGACTTCGCCGACCTCGTCAGGTACCCGTGTGGACTGGCCGCGCTCGTAGGCAGTGACGATTTCCTGTGCTACCCGGGCTCGCACCTGCTCACCGCACACGCACGACCCCACATCGCACACGCACCGCACACGCACGACCGCACGCGCACCACAAATGTGAGTGCGATGGCAAAAAGAATTGGTTTGATCAAAACACTCGAGCACCTGGGTGTAGCCGTAGGTGGTGGTAATGCCCAGCAGCTCCACGTCCTCCTTGGGCAAGTGCAGCAGCATCAGCAGCGCCAACGCGTCGTCCACTACCCACACGCACGCCCGCACTCGGTAAGTGTGTCGCACGCATCACCACCGCACACAAGGAGCACACAACACACTTCATACCATCAGTGCCGATGTCAGTGTCGAAGATGACGCGCACGGGTCCCTCGTTTTCCTGCACTTCAGCCGAGGCGGCCTCCTTGGCGGCCTTCACCGCCTCGAGCCACCCCTCGAGCACGCCCTTCTCCTCCTGGGTTCCCAATTTAAATTGAAAAAAGGTTATTCCTGATTTTCAATTTAAATATAAATATAATCATAAATAGAAATAGAAATATTAATAGAAAAGAGGAAGAAGGTACGGGGGAGACTTCGAGGCGTTCGGTGCGGTAGGGCATCTTGCGGTGGGCGTGCCGGTAGACGTGGCCGTCCCCACTCACTCCACCCCCTTGCCCGCCGCCCTTGCCCTTCTTGGAGGAGTTCTGGCCCATGATGACCCACTTGATGAGAATAAAAATTATTGTTGTAATTCACACAACTCAGTGTAAGTGCTGGTTAGGCGAATAAGGTTTGTACAAATCAGAGAATAATAAATAAAACCCAAAAGCTGCAACTCAGTGCTCAGCAGCGCATCATCAGCAGCGGTAGGAGGTGGTCCGGTCGGAGGCGACCACGACCACCTCTTCCGCCTCCGCCTCGGGGTCCGAGTCGGAGTGGTAGGTGGCGGGGGACGAGGGGTTGGAGTAGAACCAGAGCCGTGGCCGGGCGTGGTAGTGCTGCATGCGGTGCGCCAGCGTGGGCAGCGTCTTCTCCGATGGCCCCAAGATGTGTTGAATCCACGGATAGTCTATCAATTTGCCAAAGCCAATTTGTTGTCAGTCGTGTTTCTGTGTGTGTTGTGTGTGTGTGTGTGTGTTGTGTGTGTGTGTGTTGTGTGTTGTGTGTGGTTTCTCGGAAACGCACCCTCTCGTCGTTCGGCGTAGAGGTTGAAGCTGTAGACCTTCTTGCCGAACTCTTGTGCGATGGCGAGGGCCTTCTCCGTCACTCCGACCGAGAACGACGTTCCCACAAAAATCTGTCAACACACACATAGCACCACGCGAGAGCCCACTGAACTCAATACAACAGAAGATGACAGCATGAAGACGACATGGCGGGTCAGGCAAGCAAGGTACCAGCACGTCTGAGTCGTGAAACCACTCGTCGACGCGGTCCCATTGGTAAAATTGGTGCGAGCCGTACTGCTCATCGAACAGCAGCGCCTGCGGCAGCACCGCCTCGTCACACGACGGGCAAATGGGTGCCTGGCCGTAGTGAAGAAGAGAAAAGGTTAGCGTTGTGTGTCGTGTGTCGTGTCGGGTGGCGTGTGTGTTGTATGTCGTACCTCGGTGAGCATGAGATTGCCGGCATCCATGCATGTTCCCTCTTTCGCGTAGTCCTCCAGATCGATGTCGTCTATGGACTCATCATAGGCGTAACTGCAGTCGTCTGTAATACTGCGCACATATTTTTATTATCGATAATAATTAGAAAATGGAAGTAGGAATTAGCCAATGAACGGATTGGTTTGAGAGCAGGCCAGACAGACAGCGTGCGAAGGAAGCATACCATTTGTACATTCCGAGTCGTCCGTGGACCTCGATAAGTTTGTGTGGGCAGAGCGCCGTCTGTAAGTGTAATCGATCGATGTTCTGTGTTCTGTGTGTCGTGTCGTGGTAATGTTGCATGCTTTTAGTGCACTGCCAGCTGCACGCTCGGCAGCGTTTCGCCGCATGCACCGAAGATTGAATAATACTAATAATACTAATAATATTAATAATAAAGAAGAAATAAAAATAACAATCTTGGTTTGCTCTATGCCAGTGGAGTGAAAGAAGAGGTGGACAATGGCTTTGTCCCTCCCGCTGAGCACTGCCGTGCGCTGCAGCTGGCAACGTTTACAACAACGGCGCATGGAAAAGGAATGCAGGATCGCGTACATGACTTTCGCGTTGCACATCTGCGAGATGGCAGCGATCGCGTAGTGGCCTGCGTTGGGCTGCGCCTTGAAGTACTCGGGCTTCTGGTGTGTTCGCAGCCAAAACTTGTTGTACCTGCATGGCACCAAGTCACAACATCATTGTTTATATTTATTAGTCTTATTTATTATTTGTATTTATTACTTGGAAATCTGTGTTGTGATTGAAAAGGCCAGGCGAGGTGAAGAAGATAGATCAAGAGAAAGAAGAAGAAAGGGTGAGTACCACAGAGTGGGATTCTTCTTGAATTTGGACCGAGTGCCCCAGCTCATCACGAAATTGGTCCACACGGCCGTGCTCGTGCCTCGGTACGGCGCGATACCGCTGGCAGCGCTTAGCCTGTGCACAAATCGCTGTCAGCACGTTGCCTTCATGCAGGTACTACACGAGAGAAATCGATCACAGGCCAAAAGCGATGAAAAATCTCGCTTTGTAGGAAGATGTTTTGGCCACAGCCTGCACCAACAAAGAATAAACGGGCATTGACGAGGCAAAGCGTACCCAGCACCAGTAATGAACAGAGGCACCTCGCCGTTGCACAGATCGGCCACCAAATTATCCATTTCGCGATCTCGCGGCCGTGTTGAAGAGCCCATCCTGAACCTCCTTCGGGGTCCTTTCTCTACTGCTCGTTGGACAAGCGCAGCAGCGAGCCAGCCCCACCCCAAGCACGATCCAAGAGAACAGTTAGGTCTCTACGCAGTTTCCGCTGCTCCTTCTGCTTTACTCAACCCCGCCTTTTCCTTGAACCCTTTTCCTTCTTTCCTTCGATTTCTCTGTAAACAGAAATAAAATCAGAAACAGCACTACTTCCTTTGCTTTCGAAGGCAGTTCGTCGGTCAAGCCTTGATGGACCTACACTATGGTAAGTGGCTGATCCGCATGTGCGCCAATGAGCACGATTCTGCCCCCTGGCTTCCGCGCCTTCGTGCCATCCTCGTACGTTCTTGCTTGTTTTTTTTTTTACAATGTTGTTTTTAGTGATAACAATAAAATACAATATTTCTTGGCGAACAGGAGAGCACAAAGAGCCCGGATGTGCTCAAGGTGGCGTTGCTCCTGCATTTGGCGTCCAAGAGTCGCTTCACCCACGCGGTAGTCGCCACGTCGCTCGTGGAGGGCGTCGTCAAGCCGGCGACCACGAGCGACAAGGTCCGCGCATGCGCCATCTTTGCCGTGGCGGAGACGACCCCAAGAGGAGATGTGAAGACAATGCTGCTCGGCCTTAACGGTTCGCAGCTGCGCCACCTTCGCCCTCTTTCGCTCTACTGCCGCCATGTCTCACAGTAAACCTTTCGTGTGTGTGCGGTGGTGCTTGTGCGTGCGCGTGTCGTCTTGGGGCGAAGAGGGATCATTGCCGTTCGGATTGCTCGCGCACACGACGTTGGCGTGGGCCACCCTTCACCACCTCGGCGACGAGGCGCCACGTGCAGCACTCGGTCACGCTGTGTATGCGCTGGCCCATGACGCTGAGGTCATGTCCGCCTGGCACGTGTGTGAAGGTGCCCTGGATCTGGGCAACGACCCAGCGCACAGGAGCCTTAGCGGTAAGGCCGATACCACTTCGCCCGGCCTGGACCCTTCCACATTATGCCAGGTACACACACAACACACACAACACACACGACACGACACGGCACACACGGCACACACGACCGCACACGACACGACACGCACCAATCCAGAGGAGCACGCAACACGCAGCGCAACAAGCGAACCCAATAGTGAATTGAGACTAACTGATCTCAACTTTGCGAAGATGCTCTACAAAGAGATTAGGAAGCAGTTGACGTCCACCAAACTCAAGCAGCACCTGGTGGCATTGTTGATGGACCACCTTGGGCAGGTCACCACCGACCACCAAGCCATGTATGCACACTAGTCGCTTCCAGCTCCATCGCCACCACCCCGTACCTGCAACAACCAACACACACCAACCCAGCCAACGATTAGTCAGGTGTCTGCTGGACACCATTGTGCCGGGCTCGTTTGCCGAAGGCACAGTGCGACAGGAGGTAGAGCGGGACTGCCCTGACGCGCTGGGCGTGCTGCGGCGGTTGGCCGACGAGCCGCAGTTCGACCACCTGTGGCGCTGGCTTGAGTACCACCCTCACCACCCCATCCCATTGTGGTAGTCGTGGCTCACCATCGCGTGCGGCAAGCAGGCAACAAGACTCAGAGTCATGGGACACCAAGGGGCTGCCGCTCACCGCGCGGGCAGACCTCCAGCGGTTCCTCGATGCGCCCCTGCCCGCCCACTGGTTCGCCGGCAAATGGTACACACCACCATGTACCGTGTGCCATTTATTAATGATATTTGTTTTGATATATATTTCTCATTTATTTTATACAAATAAAAATATATCAACTACTAGGATGCCGGATCTGGCTGGGCTCGACGACGAGGACTGGAGAATCACAGTTCCGTGCGGATTCGTGTGGCCCCAGGTCATCAGGAACCTTGCATCGCGGGTTGGCTCCGTACAAGAGGAAGCGACCGGGCAGCTGGCATTGGTTGCGGAACTAGGTCAGCCCGCGAGGCGGCTGGCCATCAAGTGGGTGGCCACCCGCCTGCTCCCGTTCAAGCGGGTCATCAACAAGGCCTCGATCTTAGAGCACTTCCTCATTACCGCCGTTTCCAGTCTCACCGCCTACGAGTACCAGGTGGCCGGTTTCCACCGAAAGTTCGCCTGCGACGGATATGGTGACGTGGTTCGTTTACTACCACACACACCGATATCTCTCACTCTCTCTCTCTCTCAGACCAACACCACGCCACACAACAAACACAGGCTATGCACATAGACGAATACCTAGGGCTGGTGCGCGATGATGACGAAGATGAAAGTGCGCGCATCATGGCGCTGCACCTCATTGCCGTACGTGCTCCGGCTCCTTCGTTTCCTCCGGCCGGTTCATTGTTCTGTAACCACACGCACACGGGCCTGTACAGATGTACCCCGATTTGTGGCGGGTCACCATGCCTCACGTGGAGGCGGTGTTCCACAACTCTGCGCGGGAGCGTTGCAACATAGCGCTGTGCACAACGGCCCTGTCAACCCTCTCCTTCATTGCACCCGTCCCGCTGGATTCATGGCCGGCAGCCAGCATCCAGGAAGAAGAGAGGGAGCACGTGTGGCGTGTGATCGAGCTGCTGGGATCGTTCTTGCCCCCACTCCCTGGTACTCGATCAAGCTCTTCAACCCAAGCTGACCTCTCATTTCATCTCATTTCTTCTTCTCTTCGTTCTTTGTTTTTCATTCTTCGTCTTCGTTCTTTGTTGAACATGTGTAGGTCATGTCATGCCCCTGCGAGATATGGCAGCCACAGCGTTGGCTGAACATCAGACCAACGGCGCCGTGGACCATAGCGGGGATGATCTCCCTGAGGAACTACGCTCTCTTGTGGCCCGCAAGGCAGACAAAGCAGCCTACAGCCACCTTCAGGTTTCTGCTATCCGCTTGGCGCTGCCATTTTGTCTTTGTTTGACTCATCTTGGTGTGCAGTGGTGTGCGGCTCTGGGCACATGCAGGCTCCTTCTCCGTGCGCGTGGCCTTGCAGGCCACGACTTTGACGCCCGCTGTGCATCCCCTGACATTCACACACTTGCAAGCACAGAAATTGAGCTGGGGCTGGGTGAATGGCTACCAAGACGCATCAAGCCCGTGCTGCTTGCCAGAGCCCTCCGTCCCCCAACCCTACTACCAGCACCACGGGGGCACCCTTTCGGGGCCAGGGACATGACAAGAGCCTACCTGCACATCTTCTTTGATCTTGATTAGCTTCATGACTCTCAAAATAAAGTGCTTAGCTGTCCTTTGTGGATTTGTGAACGCCATGGCCTTTGGTTGTAGTTGAAAAGTGGGAATAAAAAGAAAAAAATAGTGAATTATCGATAATAAAAGGGCCAAAAATAATTATGCATTGCTCTTCTCTTTTGCCAGCACTACTCCTGCTGGAGGGCGATGGAGTCCTCGCCGAGGAGGTTGCAGAGCTCGCGCAGCCGCTTGTGCATGGTGGGCATGCCCTGGAGCTGGGCCTCGAGCCGCATCTTCTCCTCCTTGAGCCCCATGCGCGCCGTGGCGTTGAGGGGCAGGAACTGCCAGCCGCCCTCGCCGTCGAACTGCAGCAGGTAGTTGTGGTACTGCCACAGCGACGGTCGGTGCGTTACCGTCAACAGCGTAATGCCTGACACGAGTGGGCAACATCAATGTAAGTTGCGTGTGTCGTGTGTGTCGTGTCGTGTCGTGTGTGTCGTGTGTGTCGTGTATGTCGTGTATGTCGTGTCGTGTCGTGTCGTACCGAGATCCTGGGCGTGGGCATACATCTTGCCCTCGACGTCGACGCTGACGGCCGAGGTGCACTCATCGAGAATGGCGTACTTGGGCCGGTGGTAGAACAGACGCGCCATCGCCACCCTCTGCTTCTCGCCGCCTGCACGAGCACCCCAGCATGTAAGAAGTTTGTCGTGTGCGTAGTGTCGTGTGCGGTGGTGCGTGTGTGTGTGTGTGTGTCGCGAGAGCGGGAGGGTACCGGAGAGGACGTCCTTCCAGTCGCTCACGGCATCCCAGCCGCCTTCCCGGACGACCACCTTGGTGAGGTTCACCCACTCCATTATGTCGTCCAGATCCTGGCAACGCAAATTTGCCATTCCATGAGTAATATTTAAATGTAGTGCGTATTTTTATTATTATTTTATTATTTATAAATAATAAAATAATAAAATAATAAAAAATACGCACTACTAATTATTGTTGAAAATAAATAAATAAATAAATAATGGTACCTTGTCGGTGATGTTGGCGCTGTGCATGTCTTGGACGGTGTGCGGGTAGATGACCTGATCTCGCAGCGAGCCGATGGCGAGGTAGGGGCGTTGGGGAATGTAGAACATGTCCGAGATGCTCGGCTTCACCACCGAACCGCGGTACACCGGCCACAGACCGCCCTGCGTCGTGTGTCACACGCGCCACCATAGCGTGAGCTTGTGTGCTCTGTAGAGCCGAGACCTCGGTCTGGGCCGTTGGTCGTTGCAATGGGGCGCCGGGGGGGGGTGTCCACGTACGAGGATGCGGAAGAGCGAAGACTTGCCGCAGCCGTTGGGACCCGTGATGAGCAGGTGGCGGCCCGGGGTGACCTCGAACGAGAGGCTCTCCACCAGCACGTCTCCGTTGGGCGACACGATCGGCACCTGGACGCAGCACCACCCGGGGTTGTGTGAGTACAGAGAGATCGTGCATTGTGTGTTGTGTGTGGTGTGTGTGTGTGTGTGTGTTCCATGGGCGTGTGCGGTAAGTGTGGTACCTTGTCGAATTGAATGTAGTCGGCCTCCTGCACGACGCCTTGGGGTTTGGTCAAATCGAGTGGCTCCGCAGGCTGTGGTGTGTGGTGTGTGGTGTGTGTGGTGTGTGTGGTTAGACAAAGAGCTTTCTGAGGGGCATGGTGGTACGTCAGCGCGGGGCAGTACAAGGAGTACCCCGTTGTCGTGGTGTCGGATCCGCTTCTCTTTCACGGTGGTCGACTCTTCTTCCGCATCGTCCTCATCGCTGTCCTCTCCGTCGGGTTCACCCTTGATGCGCTTTGCCTTTGCGCCGTCGTCATCGTCGTCCACGTTGTTGATCATTGTCTTGACGAACTTGCCGTCGTGCATATCCTCGAACACGTCCTTTTTTTTTTCAAACCGCATAAGCAACACAACACAACACACACGACACACGCACCACAGCACACGCACGACCGCACACGACGGGCGCAGATTGACAGAGGAGGATAGACGCGTACAAGCATGTCGGTGACGCGCGTGACGTAGCCGTCGAGCTCGCTGATCTGCTTCTGGGCAAGCATGATGCGCTCCACGGCGTCGGCACTGTCGAGCAGCAGCTTGCGGGCCACGATGTAGTTCTGCGTGCGGTCGCCCATCGACGAAAGTCCCTCCACAGTACCCGTGGCTGCCACCACAAATTCAACATTTTATAACAATTAAATATTAATCATTAATACAACGACAAGTTTACATTTCAAAGTAATATTTATGTTGATATAAAATGTAAAATATGACTGTGAAAAGAATTAAAAAAATAATGGGAGTTGTACCTTTTTCGATTTTCTGTTGCTTGTAGTCGGCGAGGAAGGTGGGGAAGGCGATGATGTTCATGCCGATGGCGCTCCACACGTACTTCATGAGGAAGCCCTCGAGCATGGTGTAGAACACGCGCTGCTGGAAGATGAGGTTCATGTGCTTGACCAGCGCGTAGTAGCTCCGGGCGATCACCCCGTGCTCGATCTTGTGCCCGCGGTAGAACGCGATCTCCTCGGCGTTCGTGATCAGTCTGCTGTGCACGAACCGCAGCTGGCCCTCCAACGCTGTGCGTATGGCATGCGGCGTTAGCCTCTGTGTGCGTGTGTCGTGTGCGGTGGTGCGTGTGCGGCAAGGTGGCGTACCGGCCTGCTTGGCGACGAGGGCGCCGAAGGGCGGTGACATACGGCGCAGCAGTTTGCTGGTGAGCCATACGCACATGACGCCGCCCGCCAGAGGCGGCAGGCCGCTCATGAAGCCGGCCTGGCGCGTGATCAGCACCCACAGCTGCACCACCATCAACACCTGGAATGCGACGCATGCGGCCAATAAATAATAGATTATTAGAATTCACACATACAGACACCACACACACGAAAAAGGGCAAGCCAGGTGGTCGGTGGGCACGTACGACGTCGAACATGGGCTTGGACAGCTGGGAGTAGAGGGAGGCGAGGTGGGAGCTGAACTTGGAGACGTCCTCGGTGAGGCACTGGTCGGCGTTGGTCAGCCGGCTGTCCAGGTTGCCCACGCGGTAGTAGGTCTCCGACTCCATGTACTTCTGGTACAGGTGGTCCGACATCCGCGTGCGGAAGGCGATGGCCAACTTGTCCTCCAAGTACCTATAAAGTTGTGCGATGGGTTAGGGCAACTCGCTGTGGTGCGTGTGCGCGTGCGTGTGCGTGTGCGGTACTTGATCATGGAGTTGGTGTAAACGGCGGGAACCGAGAGAGCGAGCCACTTGGCCAGCAGCCACATGAAAGCGAAGGGGGAGCGACCCACGATGGACCTGACGATTTGACCTGTCGGCGGGTCGCGTATGTGTTTTGTGTTTTGGTTAGCACAACAGGAAGGCAGGCGTGTAGTTTCTCTCTAGGCGATGATGGTGATGAGAGGTACCATCGATGTAGGCAACGTAGATGCTGAGCAGGGTCCGGGTGAACAAGAAGAACGTGTGCATGCCAAGAATGCCCGCTTCCTGCACAAGCGCGTGAGTGGTCCCATGTGATGCACAAGTACGCTAAGCAACGAGAGAGAGAGAGATGGTGATACCTTGCTGTAGATGGAAGGCAGCACGATGCGGAGGAGCCGCCCAAGGCGCTTGTAGAACTGCTGGCGATTGAACTGGGGCTTGGCCTTCACCACCACTCCAGTTGTTGCCTCCTGCAAAGTGTTCATTTAATTAAAGGAATTCCTTTAATTAAATTCCAAATCCCAATTGGGATGATCCATGGCGCAAATCTTGGGAAAAAATAAAATAAAATAAAAAGTATAATCGTAAAGACGTGGGAGAGGCAGAGGCTCACCTCAAGTGCATCTTGTTGCGCCCTGTGCTCCTTCTCGGCTTCCATCTGATTTACTCGCTTTCGGGTGAGGTAGACGCCGGCCCCGACAGATGCGAGAATACCCAGCCCCGACACTAGGTGCCGTTTGGTGACATTCTCGCGCAGCAGGCGCGTCAACGCCTCCACCGAGATGGGTGTCGAGCTCATCTGCCCCAATTCGATTGAAATGGAACAGTCAATTGATAGAAATGGTGGAAAATTGAGAGCGATTTAATCGAAGAATGAGAGACCCGAATACGGCACGAGAACGGGTGCTTGTACCACGACCTACCGGCGTCCTAGTGAAGATGCCCACTCGGCGCTCGCGAAGTGGCCGGAAAGCTGAAGCACTCTCACTGCGAAAAACGCGACGAAAAAGAGCTCTTTAAAATTATAACAAATATAAAATTGATCTTTGGCACTTTGGCAACCAACCAAGGTTTGCTATTGGCTGGTGAATTTACCAACGGCACATGTGCTCGCTGTCCTACTTCTACCTGCGTCCGCGTGGGGAGGCTACATTCATCATCAACTTGATCCTTCTGCTGAGCACCGGCCGCTTCGAGCCGCCTCTACGTCGCCTACTGCACGGTCGGCTTGCAGCCCCGTCCCGTCGTCCGAGCCCTAGGCGTCTTTGGTCTGCTTCAGCTCTACTGCTTCATCAACTGGCTGCGCTCGTTCCTGCTCCCCGACTCCTTCCGCATCATCTTCAGCCAGATCTGCGCTTTGTTTCAAACGGGCAGCATCCCAGTCCAAGCACTAGATTAATTACAAGAAATCAATCCAAAAAATATCGGGGTCGGGTCTTGGGGGTGAAAACCGACCTAGAATCGGAAACCAAAGCACTTCACCCAGACAAAGCAAACAACACTCATGGAGCCGGCGAAGAGATGCAAGACGGAGGGGTGCGACAACTTTGCCGGTAGCGACGGCCAGTGCAACGCGTGCCGCCGGGGCGAGACGCCCGACGCGGAGAAGCGCAAGCGCGAGGATGAAGCGGCCAAGGCCGCCGAGGAGCGGGCGCGGGCCGACAAGAAGCGCAAGCTGGACGAGTACCGCGAGGCTCAGGCCCCGTGCGCCCGGTGCGGCGGGCGCGAGGTGCTCACGCTCTACAACAAGGCGCCGGACAACTGCTACGCCACGCTGCCGTCGGGCCGCGAGCTCGAGGGCGGCTTCCCGACGCTGGACGGCCTCACCCACCACGAAGGGGTTGACATGAAGGTCTGCCTCGGGTGCGGCACCATTGTCGGGTTCGACTCCGAAGCGATCCGGGCCGTGCTCCAGCAAGAAGAAGAACGAGCAGAGCAGGACGACTAGTAATCGTTTTCTTGTTCTTTTTTAAAAAAAGATAAAGAACGAAAAGCGAAGCAGCACAGAACGAAGAAGCGGATGGGGCTACTTGCGAAATGTGGGATCCAGCAGGCGGGCATAGGGCGAGCGCAGCAACTTCTGCCTCAACCCTTCCTCGTCGAGTTCCTGGTCGTCGTCCTCCTTTTTCATCAGCTTCTCTTTGACAAGCTCATCAAAGTTCTCGGCCAGGAATCGCTCGCCAGCTGGGTTGTGATTTGTTGTTGTTGTGTGGTATGTGGTGTGTGAGCCCACACCACGCACGTCCCACACAACAGGTCCAAGGCAAGCCAGTACCTTGTTTGGTGTATTTAGCCCAGAGCCGTTGCCTGGCCTGCTCGAGGTTGTTGTACAGCTCCTGGACGTGGTCCGCCGTCACCGAGCGCGGGTCATCCATCCACCTGGAGTTGGAATAGTTTCTCAATCCGGCCTGTCGCGGGCGACAGATAGTGAAGCAGGTGTTCCGTACTCTTGCCGAATGCGCGTCTCTTCTTCCTCGAACTCTTCGTTGAAGCCAATAAACTCGGGCATGTTCTGCACATGTTCGTGCTGAATGCGCAGCAGCTCATTTTCCTGGTCCAGCTCTGCGCAGGTGACAAGCGTGGTACCGTAAGCAAGGCAAGGCAAGGCAAGAACACACCCGGCCTGGACCCTTCCACATTATGCCAGGTACACACACAACACACAACACACACAACACACAACACACACAACACACACAACACACACAACACACACAACACACAACGTAATGTATGCGTACTTCGGAAGAGGAGCACGTTGGTGTCGTCCTCGTAGGTATCGTCTTCCTGATGGAGGCGTCGAGCAAATTCGTTTACCTCCAACAGCGTCTCGTGCTCCTCGGCCGACATGTTCACTGCAGTGCAATCACAAACCACATTACCATCAGTGGGCCCGTGTCGTGTGCGTGTGCGTGTGTGCGTATGTGTGCGTGTGAACGTGTGTGTCAAGGACTAGCGTGCGCACGTTGCTGGGACGTCGTGGCAAGCGGGGCATCGAACAGCACCGACTCATCCCACCTCTCTTCGTCTTCTTCAGTCTCCTCCTCGTCGGCGAATCGGGCCAGCTTGCTGTGCACCTTCTTCTTCTCCTCCCGCTGCATCTGCATCGCTGGTTGGTCGTGGGCCGACGGCCCGCGGTTGATGCCCTCGAACTTGTCCAGGAACTTGTAGAGATCGGGGAACGCCCGTCGTCGGGCCTCCACCTCTTGGGGCGTCAAACGTGGCACCTGCATCTCCTCCTGATTCCCTCCTTCCTCTTCACCTGCGCCGATCCCGGCTGTTTGTTGTTCATCTTCCGTAGTGAGCATTTGCATCGAAGCATCCACTACACGAATGAAGAAGAAGGGAGGGATTGTACGAGCTCGTACAAGATCGCAAATTTTCAGATTGGGCGGGATTACGAGGGGGAGGCGAAGATTGCGGACGAGTTCTGGCATCGCGGCCAGGAGGGGCGCTTTTACCCCCCTTGTTGGCCTTGATTTTGTCCATAATCGCTCGCATCGGCAACATCGATTTCTGGGAACTGATTATGCCTCGATTCTGCGTGTTGGCCATGGTGGCGAATGCAGCCCAGGACGGCCGCATTGTTCGTGCCGTTGTTGAGGTCAAGTGAGAACCCTCAATTGCCCGCATGAAGCATCCACATCTTGCTGGCGCCCTCATCTCTTCTGAACAAAACAAGAAGAAAATAAAAAACCTAGGAAGAAAATAAAGAATAAAGCTGTGCAACAAGGAGCACAGTCGACATGGAGAAGCTCAAGGAGCTGTTGCTCTTCTTCGACCGGCACCCCCACCCGCCCAAGAGCTGCCGCCACGAGCCTTTCGTATGTTACCCTTTCTTTTCTTTTAAAGCCAAAAATTGCACTTTTCCTGACAGCGTTGGTCGCCTCCTCAGCTGAGTGAGGTGCAAGCGGCATGCGTGGAGATGATGGCAAGAGACGGTCCGGTCTCGCTGATGGACAACACCCAAGGCCAGCTGTGCCCCTCTTACCCACTGCAGATCGTCCTCCCGCACGCCACCGAGGTGCGTCCCTGCCCACAGAATAACCCAACTCCCCAGTCGCGCAGTGAGTGCAGTGAGTGCAGTGCGTGCATGTCGTGTGTCGTGTGTCGTGTGTCGCGTGTCGCGTGTCGCGTGTCGTGTGTGACTGAGGTTGTTGGGTGCAGGAGGATACGGCCAAGATTGCTGTTGCTGTAGAAAGGGCCAAATACGCCCGGTATGACCGCCCGTGGCCTGAGCAGGCTCACCCATGACTTACAGCACCACGAGCTCAGGTACCGCCAGCGATTTGCCGTTCCCGCGTTCGCCTACCGCGGCAGCTGGGTGTGCCGATCAGCCGCGCCGTCCGACCTGGAGCACATCCAGAGCTACGTGCCGTGGTTCGTCTTCTCATCATTGCCGCCCCCCCCCGCGCTTCTTTCTAAGTCCCTACTAACACTCAACCTTGGCACTCCCGTTACTCGCGTGACCTCAGCGACGACGCCGAAACCCACTATCAACACGACCGGGCTCTTCTGTCCCAATTTTCAGTGCACTACGTACGGCCAAACTGTGAGTGTTGTGTGTTGTGTTGTGTCTTGTGCGGTGGTGCGTGTGGCAGTCGCTTGGTATGTGGTCATGCGGTGGTGATCGATTGATTGGTTGCGTGGACTTCAACAGTTGTTGAATATGATGTCCGAGGAGACGGTGGAGGAGCATGGCGTGCGGTGCTGCCTGGCGGAGCAGGTGGCGTCGCGTGAGCTGTACTCTTCTCCGCCGCTCCAGCTCTGCGTCGTGCCCTACCCTGGCGTCAAACTCTTCGACACCTGGCGCCAGGGCGGCTACAACGGTTGCATTCCGCCCCCGACCACCTTCGCACTGATAGCACGCATTGACGTTTAGTATGTGTGTGTGTGTGTGTGTGTGTGTGTCGTGTGTGTCGTGTGTGTGTGTTGCGCCGACGTAACAGGCAACATTCCGTATGACTGGAGCAAGTGTTCTGCGGAGTTGGAGATCCCAGCGCAGCTTCACGCTGCCGACGATGAATGGCCGGAGCACAAATCCTGGGACTTAGGTACGGCGTTGCCCGACACAATCAGCAGCAGCAGAGCATTCACCACGACCACGACCACCACCACCACGACTCAATTTGAATACAACAATGTGCCTGCAGTCACGCTCACGCAGAAGTATTTCGGACTCATGCTGTCGCTGCTGGTACGCGGCGGAGGAGGGCTCCTGGTTCACTGCCGCTCGGGGTGGGATCGAACGCCCATGTGGCTGTCGCTTTTAAGGTGATGCATAACACACGCAAGACGGCACACAACATGGCACACAACACAACTCACGACATGGACCTCGCGTTCAGGTTGTCCTTGTGGGCGGATGGGGAGGTGCACCAATCGCTCAGTGCCGACGAGATTGTCTACCTGACCGTGGCCTATGTACATAGTTCACTCAGGTCCGTGCAATGTTTATCAGTCATTTCTAACCATTATTGTGCACTTTTCCTCCTCTAGGATTGGCTCTTGTTTGGGTACATATCATATATTCCTAAATACTACCTGTAAGTATTTCATCTGGTGATTGCGCTCATTGACCGTTCTTTGGTGGGTGGTAATTGGTGCAGCCACGACTTTGCGGGGCGTCGATCGAAGGGGCAGGAGATAATGCTGTTCACCTTCCACTTCCTCCTGGCGGTCCTGTCGGCCGACTACTCGGTCCACACCCACATCCGCCGTCAAGCTTCCAAAGCCTCCACCGGCAAGAGCGAAGCCGGCGCAGCAGTCCTGGAGCAGGATGTGGGCGAGCCATCAGCTCACTCGGCGGAGACGAGGGAGCGCAAGCTGCGCGACGTCCACCACCTGTTCACGCAAGCCTACGCCCAGTGCTTCTTCAAAACATAGCGAATGGAACAAGACGAATTCAATCAAGCGATTAATAAAAATAAAATAAAATAAAATAACATGCTTATTTTCGACGCATGAGGAAGACGCCCAGGAGAACGCCCATCGCAGCTGGGAGGACCGCACTGGCGAGGAGGCCCCAACCTTGACCTTCGTCGGGAACCGGGACTGGGTTGTTTTGGAAGTGATGGACCCATGCCCTGTCGAAGTCACGCGTCAGTTTAAACTGGTCGGACTTGATGGCCATCAAAAGCGAAGCTTGGGCGCAGGCTTACTCAAAATTCTCACGCCTCTCGCCGTCGTGGTCCTGATCAAAGAGTACCACCACGTTGGTCTTGCCGACAAAGGCCCAGATCGAGGGCCGTGCTGAGTTGTACGTTAGCTCGTGCAGGACCTGGCGGACCACCTCGGCCTGGCTCAGCTGGAACTGGAGCAGCTTCACCGATTCGAGGCGGTAGCGCACTCGGTCGTCATCCGCAGCACGGAGCCACACTTGGACCTGCAAGAATGGCCATTGATGAGGCAGCACGTGTACTGGCACTCCGGCGGCGGCCGCGATCTCCTTCAGGTGGGTCGTAAGGATGTTGGTGGCGTCTTCACCGACGATTAGGTCGCGGTAGCTCAGGTCTATGTAGGTCAGCTTGGGCAGGCAGCGCTCTACCACTGCCCGCGACGACGCGCGGACGACCACTGCGCGCTTCGCCATTTCCACGATCTCGAGTAGTTCGCCCTGCGGGAGCCGGAGCCGCGGAAGCATGTGCTCTCGGTGGAAGGCAGCTTCGGCATGTCCGATCCAGGTCTCGTAGAGTTGGCTGGGCGTGGCTGAGACAGCCGTGGCCGTTGGTGTAGAGGTGGCCGTTGCTGTTGCTGTCGTGGACGTTGCTGTAGGGCCAGCCTTCGCTGGACAGGCCGTTGGTATAGAGGTGGCCGTTGCTGTCGAGGCGGTCGATGCAGTACGTTGGAGCTGTTGTTGAGCAGTGGTGGGTACTTTTTTTGTGGTTGGTTGTACCACCAGCTTCTTGCCACTCTTCTTCTGTGTCTTCTTCTTCTTCTTCTCCTTTTTGCCGCTCGAGGTCGGCGATTGCTGCTGTGTTGTCTTGTGTGATGTGAGTTGCGGTTGCACGAGAGGGTGCCTTGTTGTGCGGTGTGAGTGTCGCGTTATGGTAGGAATCATCAAGAGGGTACCTGCGCTGCCGTGAAGGTGTCGGCGTCGGTGATGGCATAGGCCAATTCTCCTTCCCGCTCTACCGCTTTCCACGCAGCGATCATCTGTTGAGCTCCTCCACTTGCGCCCGCCACCTTGAGCAGCAAGACGGCGCACATCACACCTTTGTCCAGAGTGGCCCACGGCGTCGGTTCTGGGTCGAATGCAGTGCCAGCATCAGTAATTACTCTTTTTTTTAATTTATTTAATTGTAAAATTAAAAATATAATAAAATAAATTAATACACCACGTTTGTACCCACCCGTATGATGGTAACGATTGAGCACCATCCTAATGTTGTGGAACTGCTTGGCATAAATGGAATGCTTCCCCTTTCGCTTGGGCCACACGCTAGCCAACTCATCTAGAAGCAGGCGCACATCTTGAGGGTTTTTTGGTTGCACTCCCTCGGATCTCGCCAACTGCTGAAGATGCGGGCGCAGCAAGGCCTCCATATTTGAGAAGAAGCCATTCAGTTTCGCGAAGGCGTGAAAGGTGACGGGACCCTCCATCTTGGGATGTAGTTGGGGCCGTTTTAGTTTCTTATTTGTTTTCGTTTTCGTTTTCGTTTTGTTTTTCGAACTACCTATTTCTATTCACCTAAATTGAAAAGAAAGAAAACTAAACTAACGGCGTTAGATCGATTTGGCGGGAACGTTTGAACGGAGGGGTGCAGGTCACCAACGCGTTCCCGCCACCAACACTACATTTTCTTCAAAGACTGGACAAGGGAGTGCGACATTTCAATGCAAGCAAGGCCGCATCGACAAAACTTGCTCGGCAAGGAAAATCATCACAATCTACCATCAGAAGTCTCATCGTCGATGATGAAGCGCAACAGCAGGCCAGAGCTTCAGCAGCGCCCAGTCGAGGCTGTAATCGACCTTACCGCCTCCGACAGCGACTCGGATGAGGACATCATCGATCTGAGCCGCCGCCTCTCCGCCCTCAAGCCCCCTTCCGCACAAGGGGCCCGCAAACCGACTCTTGCCCAACCTGCACCGGCTGTGGCCCGTACCAGTATCCGCACGCCCCCCATTTCTCGAGATTTGCATCAGCCATCAGGCCGATCTTCTTCTTCTTCTTCTTCAACTACCTCGCTACGCGGCTCCTCTCTTCACCCATCGCGGCCCGCCCAGCCGCCCCGCACCTCCATCATGCTGCCCATCGAGGCCGTAACGACACCCGCTACAACAACTGCGCCCAAGGCCAGCAGCACCACGAGTCGAGGCGGCGCAGTCGTCGATCCGTCGTTCGCGTTCCCCGTGTTCGCCGCGTCGACGTCGCGCACCAAGCTGCCGCCGGTCAACTTGGCCGAGGTACGGCGGCTCAACAGCCAGGCGTCGCTCCAGGCGGCCGGCAGGGAGCAGCTGCAGCGGGAGCAGGCCCTCGCGAAGGAGAGCGAGGAGGACAACGTCATCCGCCTGCTACGAGAGACGCTGCGCATCAGCGACGGCGGCTCCTCTGATGCAAAAGCCGCGAGCGGCGGTGCTGCTGCAGCGAATGACCAGTCGTCATCGTCGACGACTACCGTGGGCCAGCTGGGCCAGGACCTCACTGTCACTCTGCTGCCTTACCAGCTGGTACCTGTGTGAAAGCCACCACCAGCCGCCCACAACTTTGCCCTGGGAGCAAGATTCTCACTCCTCTTCACCCACTGTGTGTCGAACGCGCAGGACGGTGTGAAGTGGATGGTGGACAACGAGTCCAGTGCGACGGCCATCAAGGGCGGCATCCTGGCCGACGACATGGGTCTCGGCAAGACGGTAACCGGCGCCTGGACACCCTCTCAAATTCCCAAATCGCTCACGGTGCACTCTTGTCACCTCCCAGATACAAGTGATCGCGCTCTACCTCGCACACCGCACTGCGCGGCGAAAGCCGATGCTGGTGGTCTGCATGCTGTCCACCCTCAACCAATGTACGCGTTCGCCACACGCGCACTTGCATTCATTCATTCATTCATTCATTCATTCATTCGTGTGCCCAATCTGTCGAGCAGGGCTGGACGAAATCACGACGCGCATCGCGAAGCGCAAGGCCGCGCGGGTGCTCACCTACTACGGCTCCGGGCGATCGCAATCGAAGGAGCTCGTAGAATCATACGACATCGGTACGAGACAGATGCATCTCTCATCTCTCCTCTCTTTCTCAGTTTCTGACACAAGTGCACTTCCTGCAGTGCTCACTACTTACGGCACGTTGGCCGCCGAGTTCAAGGGGAAGGGAACCGACGCCAAGGCTAAGACCGCGGCGAAGCCCTCTCTCCTCGCTAGCATCCACTGGTGGCGTGTGGTACTCGACGAAGGTAAACCAACGCGTGTGCGGTGGTGTGCGTATGCGTGCGCGGTGATGTGCCGTCGTGAGTGCTTACTTGCGCCTATTCGTTTGTTTTTTATTTCTGTTACCCGCAGCCCACTTGATCAAGAACAAGAAGACCAAGACGGCCATGGCCGCCCACCAGCTGCAGGCCGAGCAGCGCTGGTGTCTCAGCGGCACCCCCATTCAAAACAGGTTTCTACCCAGTACTGGACATTGTCCCCCACCCCCCGGCGGTCTCACTCGTGCGTTGGTGTCAATGCAGCCTCGACGATCTGTACAGTCTGTTGTGCTTCCTGCACGTTCCCGTCGTGAGCGACCTCGACTGGTGGAACACCTACATCGTCAAGCCGTCCAAAGCCAAGGCCACCAGTACGTGGCCGGAACTCTTGTATTTGTGGCGCGATGGTTGCCATCGAGAGAGTGGATGTGTGCGCTAACGCGTTTGCTGCCTTTTTAAGGCACGCGAGAAAAGGCCAGGCGGCGCCTGCAGCTCATTCTCCAATCTCTTCTGTTGCGAAGGTACGCTTTGTTTTCGTTTATACAGTGGCGTACCAGTGTCGCAACACGCACACACACACACACACCAGGACCAAGGATCAGTCGTACAACGGGCGCCCGATCCTGCAGCTGCCTACAAAGACAATCACCCTGCGCGCCACCACGTTCTCGGCCGATGAGCGTATCGTCTATGACGACCTGTTCAACAAGGCCAAGAACACGTTCAACAAGTACGCGCGAGACGGCACAGTGCTCAACAACTACATGAAGGTGCTCGAGCTGCTCCTGCGATTGCGGCAGGCCTGCGACCACCCTGCGCTCGCCCTCAAAGGCAAAGGTTGCCACCTCCATCACACCTTTCCGCTCTTCGCTCTTCGCTCTTTGCTGTGCTTCGTTCTTTCCTGACGAGGAGCTGTACAGCAGCTGCGCCGTCGGGCGAGGAGGACGTGTGTCCGATCTGCGTGCAGCCGCTGGAAGAGGACGCGGTGGTGGCGTCCAAGTGTCGACACCGATTCTGCGCCGACTGCATCGCGAGCCAGCTGGCCTCTGGCGAGAGCCGCTGCCCGACCTGTGACGTCGCCATCGACTCCGACAAGCTCCTCCCACTTTCCTCTTCTCCCAAGGTACGATTGTGTGTGTGTGTGTGTGGCATGTCTGTGGTCATGTCTGTGGTCATGTCTGTGGTCTGTGTGGTCGTCTGTGTCGTGTGCGATGGTGCGTGCGATTGTCAGTGGGTGCTCAGGAATGCTAACTGCTTTGATCGGCCATGGCCAGCTGAATGGACGAGAACGACCGGTGGCTGAGGAGGCGGAGGAGCACAGCAGCGCCAAGATTGAGGCTTTGATGAAGGTAAAGCTTCAACTGAAAAAACGACAAAAGCAATTTGAACGAGAACAAACGCTGACATTCATCACATTTTTTAACAGGCGCTGACCAAGGTCCGAGAAGAGCGCCCGGGCGAGAAGAGCATCGTCTTCTCGCAGTTTACGTCATTCCTGGATCTCGTGCAGGCATTGCCCCTCCCCCTGGCATCTCACATAGTCACTCAGTCTAGTCTAACCTTTTCACACACACACACACACACAACAGAAACACATGAAGAGACACAACATCTCGTTTGTGCGTTTGGACGGCTCGATGGTGCAGAACCACCGAATGCAAGCCATCGAGCGATTCAACACGGACCCACGCGTTTCCGTGATGCTCATCTCGCTCAAGGCCGGTACGTACCTGCGCGTGACAACGCCTTCAACTTGAAGTCGCTCCTCCCCTCAAAAACGTGTCTGGAATTCTCACTCACGTGGGCTTAGGCGGCACGGGGCTCAACCTGACGGTGGCCAACCACGTCTTCCTGCTCGACCCCTGGTGGTACGTTGACTCCTCTCTCTTCCGTCTCCCGCCGTAACGAGACACTCACCAGTCGTGTGTGTCGTGTGTGTCGTGTGCATGCAGGAATCCTTTCACTGAGGTGCAGGCCATCGATCGCGTGCATCGACTGGGGCAGACACGCCCAGGTATAGTTAACCAGCGCTGACCTCAATACAACCGTTTTGTGGAGCTGCGTGCGGTTCTGCGTGTGATGTCTGCGGTTGACCTCGGCCTCGGTGTTGCAGTGTCGGTGACGCAGTTCGTGATCAAGGACTCGGTCGAGGAGAAGATCATCAAGATGCAGGAGCGCAAGAAGGCCCTCGCCGCCGACGTCCTCTCGTCCGATACCAACAAGAAGGCCAGCCTCTCCCGCCTCAGCGTTTCGGAACTGCGCCACCTCTTCTCCGACTGAATAATATTAAAATATGAAAATAACTCAAAATAATAAAACTAAAACAAAAGAAAAAGATGGAGCTGCCGGAGGAGGTGGAGTTGAGGTGGCTCGCGCTCCTGCCCTGGACAGACCTCGTGCGCGCTGGCCTCGTGTGCACCCGCTGGCACCGCCTTGGTACATCATACCTTCGATCGAGTCGCCTTCGTCGTTGGTTGATCCTGGACTTTATTGTCATTATTTTTGTTTGGGGTGGACAGCCAACGATGCGAGCTTGTGGGAGGCGGCCTTCGTGCGCGAGTTTGGACCCGAGGCAGCAGATGCCGTGCGGGGCGCCACCTCCATTCCTCAGGCAATCATCCCCCCCCATATTTTTTAAGATTTTTTTATATATTTATTATCTATCATTCATTTTATTTTATCTGCGTCCAAAGCCTAACCACTGCCATTGGGTGTGCAGGGCCTGGAAAGGCTGTGGGAGGGCGCACCGGTTGAGCTTCCCGTATGGTTCAACAAAATGACATGGCGGGCCCGCCCTTCGCGCACCGTACGACCACTCCGGCACAACACACACACGCCGCCCTCTCTCTCTTTCTCTCTCTCTCTCTCACACACAACACACACACACACAACACACACACACACACACACACACACACACACACAACACACACACACACACACACACACAACACACACACACACACAACACACACACACACACACAACACACACACACACCACACACACACAACACACACACGCACACACCGAACACGCACACGAAAATGAACAGGAAGGCAAGGCGTTCAGGGAGTACCCCGAGTATGACCATTCAGCGATCCTTGTCAACAAGGAGCCGTGGGATCCAGCCGAGGCGCCGCCGGCCCAGCAGCAGGCCGACAATAACGGCGTACCAGAGTCGACGGCGACGGGCGACGACGGCCACCCCAATAATTGGTGGCAGGCCATTTTCCTGCGGCACTACGTGCTGCGGCACCGGTGGCTCCACGGGTGCGACCCGCAGCAGCCGAGCGCGGAGAGGCCACCGCAGGTCGAGGTCATGCGCATTGTGGTGTGCGGAATGGAGGCGAGCGGAAAGAGCAGCTTCTTGCGCGCCCTTGCACCCGACCAGCACGTACGTGTGTGTGTGGTGTTGTGTGTGTGTGTGTGTGTGTCGTGCGTGTCGTGTGTCGTGTGCTGAGAAAGCGAGCGTGTGTTGGGGGCACAGGTGGAAGACAAGGGCATCAACGTGGTGGTGCTTAACGACGTAAGCAAAGATGACACGGTGGTTCTGCTGGAAATGCGGCGCCCGAGGGGTGCTCGCCCCACCAACAACCCATAGACTTCGGCTCATCTTAGCTGATACCTTCTCCTTTCCTCTGTGTGCGCCGTGTGTGCGTGCGTGGCGTGGCGTGCGTGGCGTGCGTGCGCCGTGCGTGCCGTGTGTGTCGTGTGGTGCACACACGCAGGGTGGCATGGGCAGATCTTCAATGGCGCGGGCACAGTGGCGGGTGTGATGTTCGTCATTGACTCATCCGACTTCGCTCCTTTCCTCTGTACGCGCACGGTCCCATCTTGAGTGCTTCCTGTCTGTGTGTCACACGTCTCACACGTCTCACCGCGCCGCTCTTGAAGATGGGCAAACCGGTAACGAGAGCGCGTACCAGCGGATGGAAGCCATCTACCGGTGCTTCCACGGCATCACCGGCGAGGCCTGCCGCCGGCGCCTGAACGCCGTCGTGTGCGCGCACAAGATCGACCTCGCCGTACGCAATTAATATATTTTTTTTCTATTTTTTTTTCCTTTTCTCATTGATCGTGTGTGTCGTGTGTCGTGTCGTGTCGTGTGTGTGTCGTGTGTCGTGTGTGGCGTGTGAAACAGAGCGAGGCTGACAAGGAGGAACTGCGTGATACGGTTGACCGCAAGCTGCGCGTTACTGCGCTCGAGACCTGCACGTGGTATTACCGCGCTCGTGCGTCGACTGTCGCCACGTCGGCCACCACTGACCGAGCCGCTTGTCTCGCTGCCCTCCACCAGTGCCTCTCTACATTCATGACCTGAACGAACGCCTTTTACGGGCGAAGGTCACTGTTCGTAACAAAATATCAAAATAAAGTTATCCAAAAGAAAATCAAATTATCAGTATTTTTTACTTTTTTCGAATCTAACGAGATGGAGGGGTGGGACGTCGAGGTGCGGTTCGTGACCAGCTGCAGCCGCGTCTTTTTGGCCGACCTGTGCCCCGCCGACACGACCGTGGGCGACCTCAAGCGGATGGTGTTCGAGCGCCTGGGCTGCCCGCCCCAGGACTTCTTCCTTGTGCCTTCCCCCCAACAGCAGGCAGTAGTCGGGCGCCTGGACGACCATCGCACCTTGGCCCACTACGCCGACCGACTCCTGCAGCCCGCCGCCTGCGCCTCACCAGCCGCCACCGCCGGTCGGCCCTCTGTGCAGCTCCTGCTACGGTGGAAGTCGAAGCCGCGCTTGTTCTCACTCCCACGCCTCCCACCCGACCGTATGGAAAAGAATGGCGTGTGTTGTGGTGTGTCGTGCTGTGTATCGTGTGTGTTGTGTGTGCGTGTGTGTGTGTCGTGCTGTGTGTGTGTCGTGCTGGGTATCGTGTTAGTGTGTCTCACAAATAGGCACTCGCACACAGAAGCGAGTGGGTACCACGGTGTCAGGCTAAGAGTGGTGAAGGAGATCAAGCTCTTGCTCGGGGCCATTCCGCCGCCGGCCAACCGGGAGATCTCCACCGCCGGTCTCCACCTGTGGGAGGCCCACGCCGCCACCATGGCCCACTTCGTCTTCCTCGTCGAAGCACCCGATGAGGCCGGCCCCTATCGAGGTACCATGCAAGCAAGCGGCCATTTGTCGTGAGATTGAGCCAACGCAAAACGCACTTGCATTGTAGGGGGCACGTTCGCTGTGCGGATGTCGCTGCCTGATGAGTACCCATTTCAGAGGCCGCACATGCAGGTCATCACGCCCATCCACCACCCGTTGATCGCCCCCGACGGCCGGCTTGCCCTCCACCACTTCCTATCGGGAGGTACGCCACACACGACACACGACACACGACACACGACACACGACACACGACACACGACACACGACCACACACACACACACACACACACGACACACACACACACACGCAGCACACGACACACACACACCACACACACCACACACACACACACACACACACACACACACACACACACACACACAACACACAACACACACACACACACACACACAGCGCAAGACGAACACCAACGAGGCTTATCTTCTCACTGAACAGAGGCCAGCAGTGATTGGGAGCCACGAATCTTGATGGTGGATCTGCTGCAGATGTTTCGCCAGCAGCTGCTGGTCACCGACTACGACCACGTGCGCGAGACCTGCGACCTCGTGGAGCCGTTGGCCGAGGCCGTGGACCGCTGGACGGCCGATGGCGCGGGTCAGGCGCGCAAGGCTGCCGCCATGACGGCCCTCTTCGCCATGACCGACACCGAGCGCGCCAAGCGCTGGCCCAATTGGGCCGACGCATTCGCTTCGTTGCATCCGCAGGTGCGACACACGGCACACACCGCACACATGACACACGCACACATGACACACGCACGACACACTCTAACTGCACACATGCTACATACACTACAGTATGGGCGCGAGGTGCGCACGCTTGTGGTACTGGCGTCGCGCAACTCGCACGAGCTGCAGTGCTCAACTTGCACGGCCACGACAACGCTCAGCGATCTGCCGCTCGAGCTGGTGGCCATGATCGCGGATCGCCTGCTCCTCCTGCACATGGCCGACCTTGCCAGGTCCCTTGCGCTGCCCAGCTTCTTTGGTTTGCCGCCGGACTGGCGCACCCGCGTCATCACCACACCACCATAGTCCAATTAAAATCAAAAATAATATAAATTAAAAAAAAAGGAAGAAAAGGCAAACAGGTGGTGATGGACGTGGCGACGGCTACCGAACTGCTGACGAACCTCGCCAGGCACAGAGTATGTCCGTTGTAGTGTGTTACAAAAGTGGTCCTTCCAACACGTTTCGCAACCCCCCCCCTCCCCCCAACCTGCAGTACGCTTGGCCATTCGCCCACCCTGTGGACTATGTTGCCCTTGGCGTCCCCGACTACCCCATGATCATCCAGAGACCCATGGACCTCGCCACCATCCGCGACAAACTCGAGGCCGGCACCTATGAACTGGTATGTACGCAACCGCCAACCAAGTACGCGCAGTGCTGCCAAGGTTAACGCACGACACGCACAACACGCACACCGCACACGACAGGTCTCGGCCTTCTTAGACGACGTGCAGCTGGTCTGGTCCAACGCCAAGGTCTACAATCCGCCCGGCAGCGATGTGGTCATCATGGCCGACGCCATGGAGCAGGAAACGCGCCGGTTGGCCGCCTCCCTCGGACTGATCGACGCCGCTGGGCAACCGGTCATCGGCCAGCATACCGAGTGACCGCCGCAGTAGACACACGACACAAAAGACACGCACACGACACACGCAGGATGTGCATAAAACGTGCATCCCTCATATTTTTCAGTCGCCCGTGCGTGTCGTGTCGTGTCGTGCTGTGCGTCTGAAGTAGGGGAGGTGGAGCACAAGCTGTCTGGTGACCAACGGATGGTGGATGAGCGTGAGGACCTGCATGTGCGGCCTCTGGGCCGGGTACTCGGCTAATCCGCGAAGCTCCCGAGTCCAGCCTCTACTGCGGTGTTGCCATCGTGTCGTGTGTCGTGTAGTCTCCTTTGTCTCGTACGCTGTGGGTCGGTGCTGAGCCCAACGCAAAGCGCACGTTTCAGGGGGTCGTCTTCCTGGTGGCGGCGCCCAAAAAAAAGCAAATAAGAACAAAAACCAAAACAAACAAAAAAAAAGAACAAAAAACAGAAAGAATTAAAAAACAAACAGAATAAAAACAAAAGAATAAAAAAAGAAAAAGAAAAATGGAAAGAAAAGGCTGCCACATCACATGGTTCAGGAGAACTGTAAATGCTGATATTTATTTTCTTTATTAGCACACAGCTGGAACTTTGTGTTTCTTTCTTTTTCCCCTATTTGTCTCTGAAATATTTTGCATTCTTCATCCATGAGCTTGGTTCTGTGGATGGAAGGAAGGAGAATGGTGGGCTGTTTTGAATATTTACTTTTGACTGCATAAAATCACCACTCTGAGGCATTTGAGGAATGCCTCATATGTCAACAAGTTGCTGCAGAAAGTGGCCCAAGATGGCCCAATCTTCTTTTCTTTACCCCCCTCAGCAATGCCACACATGTAGGGCTCTTCCAGAGGCAGGGAGAGCTTTGCCCTTTGATTTAATAAAACAGAGTGGACCCTTCCCCATCTCAATTCTGTGCTGAACAGTGATCACTCAAGTGAAAGTGCCAGGCAAGTGACAAGGAAGAGAGAAGTGAGGAAGAGAGGGAGCACAAAGAGAGGGAGCCATAGAGCACACAATGGCAGAGCCAAAGAACAAGGTGCTCTACAAAGCACATGCAGTGACATGAAATCACCAAGCACACAATGGAGGACCTGCTTTGAATGCATCACAACCCACCATTCTGTTTCAGGACAATCACTGAGAGCACTCATGACTGCAAGGCTGGCCAGGTACACTTCATGCTTATTTATTTTTGTTGTTTATGTCATTTTCAGTGATTGATGGTACTTGCATGCAGATGATGTACCCACCAGTTGCACAGCATCAGGCTCATGTCAGTCAGGCAACACTCAACTTTGCGTCCCCAACTGATGTAATATGTGATTGCCACAAGCACAAGGTGGACTTGAGCAATGAGCACTTCTGTTTCCAACAGAGTACAAGATGCAACAGTAAATGATTTGAACTGTGTGAAGCAGTGCTGAGCACAACCAGCACCTCCAGCACAAGAGCACAACCAGCACCTCAGGCACAAGCAGCAAGGACGAGTGGCGCAGAGCACAATCAGCAAGTGGAAGAGAAGGTGGACAGGAGGTGGGCAGAGGTGAAGATGGAACCTTCCACCTTTTTTAATACACCCTTCAACAAACTGATGTGGACTAAGGTGACCTCAATGTGCTGGTTTTTGCACTCCTGGGAGCGTGGAAGGCACCACATGAGATGAAGAAGACACTGAGTTGATGTTGAAGTGCTGATTGACCACCACAAAGTGCAAACAGTACTGGGATCCCTTTGATTACATCCAAGAATCTCTCCCCCAACCAAAGCAGGCTGCCAGCACCAAGTTGCCATCCAATGGAAGCCACTTCCTGTAGGGGTTTAGCTCTGGTCAATATGCAGCACAAGTGTGATTTCCTCCCCTTCAAACACAGGCCAGATATACCAAGCAGAAAAACAATGTGGAATCACCTCCATCCAGGTGAGATCAAATTCCTGACAAACACACACACAACAGAAAAGCTCGGATGAAGTAGATGACATGCTTGCTCCATGGATGGATTGGGAGGAACCAGCTGGCCTCGTCGCCAAGGGAGACGAAAGTGAAGGCCAGTAACCGCCGACCGCCGACCGCCATGCCTGCCGACTGCCGACCGCCAACCGCCGTTCAATACATAAGTTGATGGTTTTTTGTTTTGAAACCGAAATTTGCGCGAACCATTTTTTTGGCTGGTGTCGCTCACTGGTCCATGACCTGGCGGGGCGTCTCGAGGTCGTTGAGTCGGGCGAAGATGTGCGCCAGCCGCTGGCGGAGCTCGCCAGGCAGCTCCCGCGGGCCGTCGCGCTTGAAGGCGCGCCACTGCTGCGTGGCCCACCCGTGATAGACCCGCGCCTCGGGCGTCACCAGCCCCTCCTCCCGCTCCGGCACCAGCCAGTGACTCGGCACCGCCTCCAGCACCTTCTCGTTCACCTCCACAAATCTGTGCGTGTGTGTCGTGTGTGTCGTGTGTGTCGTGTGTGTCGTGTGTGTCGTGTGTGTCGGTGTCAGAAGACTGGAGATGGAAGGGGTGAGTGAGTGTGCGAACACGTGTACCTGGTGATGCCGGATTCGGTGGCGGAGAATTTCATCTGCCGGAGGAAGGGCACGATCTGGCCGTTGAGGAGTTTGTCGAGGGTGAGCCCGCGGAGCGCCCGATTCGACAGCTGCTCGTGCCACGACGCGATGTTGCCCATCAACTGCAGTGCACAACTTTGTTAACATCGTCGGTCCCATACGACACGCACACGCACACGCACGGGAACGCACCTTGACGGCATTCCAAAACTGGGACATGGCGAGCTGGGTGGCGCTTTCCGAGAGGCCCAGGTAGGCCGTGGGCAGTCGCACACGATCCACCGCCGCCTGTAGACCCAGCATCACTGCCTGCAGCAATGTCTGCCCGTACACACAAGTCAGCACACGACACACACACGACACACACGCACACACAAACTGCACACAAACCACACACACACACGGGTACCTTGAGATCGGCTTGAGCGGGAAGGTAGACGAGGAGGTCGCCGACAAGGGTCTGCACGCGGCGCGTCTGCTGGCGCAATCGCGGGTCCCAGCCCTGCACGATGAACGCGCGGGCCTTGGGCAGGATCACCCGCCGCACCAACGACGGCACCAGGTCGGCCTCCTCCGCCTCCGCAGCCGCCCCCTGCTTCTTCTTCCCCTCGCCCGCCTGCGCCGACGCAAACCAACACAACATCAGCACTCGCACCACACACGCACACGACACACGACGCACACACCACCGCACACATGGCACGACACAACAAACGGCACACACGACACGAGAGGGGAGGGGGAGGGATACCTGTGCGGTGGGGGCGAGGCCGTAGGTGGAGAGGGTGCTGTACCAGGCGAGGTCCTCGAACGTGCGACTGCCGGGCGCGAGCGGGTCCCACGTCAGGGTCTGTAGCTTCACGTAGGGCACGCAGATATCCACCAGTGACACCCCCGCGAAGCACTTGTAGTAACCTGGCCGCCGCACACGGCACACGACACACGACACACGGCACAAGGCACACGACACACGACACACGACACACGACACACGACACACGACACACGACACGCACAGTACAATGTCAGCTTCGTTTCACGCGTGAGCGGCGTGTGCCGTGTCGAATGCGTGGGGCAGTACCTGCGGAGTGTTGGCTGCGCCATTCCTCGAATCGCTGCTTGATGACCGACAGCGAGGCAAAGTCGTCGACGACGTCCTCGAACACGCCCGACGCCTTATCCAGCACTTCGCTCGTCGCGGCCGCGTGCTCGGCCCTCTCGCGCTCGGTCTCGTCGCCGTCGTCCTCGCTCGACCAGCCCTCCTCGTCCTCCACCCGCGGCGTACGCATCCCCAGCCGCTGACGCCGCGCCTCTCGCCGCCTGCAATTATTATTATTATTATTTTATTATTAGTATTATTTAAATGCTCAATATTGATAAACACTTTCAAAAATAATAAGAATAAATAAGAATTTTGAAATAACAAAAATGAAAGAAAAAGGAAAAAAGAGGAAAAGGCGTACGCCAATCGCTTCTCGAGGCGCTGGGCCTTGGCGGCGGCGACGTCGGGCTCGTCCTTGACGGCGAGGTCGCCGCGCGTCCGTTCGATCTCCTCGATGCGGTCCTGCACGTCGAGGTAGTGCGCCTCCCGCCGCTTGGCGTAGCGCCCCACCGTCAACGCCTCGCCCTTCTCGCTGTAGCTCTCGATCTCCTCGGCCTTCTCCTTGAGACAGTCGAGCAGGTCCAGGATGTAGTCCCGCAGATGTTGATAGTAGTCGAACTACACGAAATCTCCAACCATTAGAACACAACACACGCGACACACGCGCACGCACGCACAACACGACACGACACAGTGTAGGGTGGTGAGGGCGTACGTCTTCGGAGGCGGTCTTGAGAGACTTGCGGAGGGCTTCGGTGTTGCTCTCGGCGGTGGCGATGGAGCTCTTGACCTCGCGCAGCTCCTTCTCCTCGTTGCTGCAGGACTGCTCCAGCCGCGCCAGCGCCTGCTTGAGCGTCTTCTGCACGTCCTCCACCGTCGGCAGCTGCACCCGAGACGACGACAGCACTGCACCCCAATTCAACAGTCAATAAATTTATATTATATTATATTATATTATTGAGTGCGTACCTCCGCTGGCGTGCTCGGAGACGGAGACGCTGCGCTGCTGCTGGGCCTGCGAGCCCCTGGGGCCGCCCGGTTGGGCCTTCATCCGCTCCAGCGTCGACTTGCGCAGCTCCTTCCCGCCACGCACGCCCTGCACGCACGGCCAGCTCGATCGATGAGCACGCGCCGCACGACATGACCCAAAGGCACGCACGCACACACGCACGGACGGGAACAGCAGCCAACCAACCGAACGACGAACCTTTTTGATCTGTTCGAGTTCCCATCGTCGAATCTCCTCGTCGTCGCTGTCCTCCTCTTCGGCCTTCTTGATCTGCTCGTGGAGGGTCGACTTGTACCGGCGCTCACGCTCCCTCGGGTCTCCGAACGCGATCCGTCCGCCCTTTTCATCGTCAAAGATGTCTGCCCCCGCACCACACACACACACACACCACACACGACACACGACACACAATCAGCACTGGACATGTCAAGATGCGGGCATGGTGCGTAGACGTACCAGGCTCGGGGTCCTCCTCTTCGTCGCGCACGAGGCGCGAGTTGACCTCGTCCGAGTCGAGCTCCTTGGCGAAGGAGGTCTCCTCGAGCGGGATGAACCCGCCCAGGTCCCGAATGCGCTCCCTCCGCTGCCGCGCCTGCACCACCGCCGCCCGCGACGGAATCTCCTCCTCGCCGCCGCCGACAATGTCGTCATCTAGATATGCGCACACGCAAGAGCGGGTGTAGGCGTGTGTGTGCGGTGTGGTGTGTGTGTGTGTGGTCAATAGCTTGTGCGATGGTGCTTTGATCGAGGAGCGAGAGCGTACAGGGAGCGGGTTCGTCTGGCGGGAGATCATCGTCATCGGCCACGGTGATCACTTCAGGCGCAGCTTCGCCCGTTGGCCAATCCTCCGGCGGCGCCGACGGCCTACACGACTCGCACACACACACAACACACACAGCACACGACACACGTAATGAGTGCACAATCTTTGAAATGGGGCGCGTGCGAGTAGTCGTTTGACCTGACGGTGGAGGAGAAGTAGATGGTCTTCGAGTTCTTGCGCAGCTCGGCCAGCTTCTCCGGCGTGTACTCGCCGGCGGCCGATCGCTGGAGGACGGCCACAGGCACCGGCTTCTTCGGCGGTGCCATGGTGCCGGCCGCCTCCTCCGGTTTCGCCGATCCCTTCCTGCACGCGCGCGCGGTGTGTGCATCAGCCAAGCCGCTACGTGGTCTAGTGTGCCAGCGCACACGTGTGCGTGTGCGGTGTTGCGTGCGTGCGCGGTACCCTCGTAACAGCTTCCTGCCTGCTCTGGGCTTGTTGAACGCCACTGCTTCCTCTTCCCCCTCCTAGCACACAAAAGAATAACGATTAGCATAAATCAATCAATTAAACAAATTAATAAATCTAGCAGTGTAGCGTTACCTCCTCGGCGAAGCTCAACTTGGCGGCAGGCCGTCTGGTGGCAGCAGCAGGCTTGGGCTGGGCTGCCTGGGCGGGAAGAGCTGCAGGAGCTGGGGCTGGAGCTGCAGATGGAGCGATGGGGGCAATGGAAGCTGATGATGTCGGTGCCTTGGGCTGATCTTCATCTTCCTCATCGCTTAGCACGGGACCCTTCTTCCTCAGTTTTTTGGGTCCTCTTGCCGGCCGGATCTTGTGCATCTTCACTCTTCCTTCCAAACCAATCCACACAATTCCCAATCCCAATTCTACTCCTGAAAGAAAAGGAATTGAAAAAGTGAAGAAAAAGAAAAACACAACGTGTACACTACAACCTAATTCTTATGCCTAAATAAAATAACAAACAATATATGTGCTCTGGGTCCTCCTGCGCTTCTCCCACTTACTTCTTGCGGGACGGAGCGAGCGTTATTGTCTGGGGTGCGCATTGCTTGTCCTCCTTGCCCAGACCCTCCACGCCGAGCCCGTCCTCGATACCCTTCACCATGTTGTCGATGTACTGTGGTGTGTGTGGTGTGTGTGTGGTGTGTGTGGTGTGTGTGTGTGAGGGAAAAAAGTCAAGCGAGCAAACTGGGAGCAAGCAAGCCGCGTACCTTGCCCGTGACCCTGATGATGTTCTTGAAGGAAGTGGCATCCAATTTGGAGATGGGCGCGTTGACCTGGTCCGACAGCCTCTCCGTGATACCCTCGGCATTGGCCTATGGATCGATAAGCCAACAGTCAGCACACCAGAACCATCATGACGAAGCACAAAGAAGAAGAAAAAGAGAAGAAGGCAGTGTGGCAAGTAAGTACCTGGAGGTATTCGAAGAAGTCCTTGCCGCGCGAGCCGTCGGGCAGATAGAATCCGTACACGTACGTGTACTTCAAAATATGACGACACTGCAGACACGAGATCAGAACAAAAGCTACTGTGTGTCGTGTCGTCGTTGGTCGTGTCGTTGGTCGTGTCGTTGGTTGTCGTGTGGCTTCGTACCTTGGCGAGAAGGTCAACAGCTTCGATGAGGAAGTCGGGGTTGCCCGACGTGAGCTCGCGGTACTGCTGCTGCTTCTCGAGCGCCTTGAGCCGCAGCTGCGGCACGCTCTTGCCCGCCGTCTCGTGGAGGAAGTAGCGGTTGAAGTAGTGCAGATACCGATCCGCCTCCGACTTCATCTTCGACGCCTGCTCACCACCACCAACACGTCATCATCATCATCATCATCATCATCATCATCATCATCATCATCATCATCATCATCATCATCATCATCATATCGCCGTCGTCACACCAAACTAAAGACAAGAAGCGGAGCCGTGCCTCGTCGTCCAGGTCCTTGGCCGAGGAGTGGTCGTATTTGTTACATGAGTAGTAGCCGCCCGTGTGCTCGCCGTGCGACTTCCAGTCACCTCGGCACATCCAACACCTTCACGGAGAAGATTAGAAGTTGACACCGCACACAACGCACACACACATACCGCACACGCACACGGGAGATGGAGTGCGTGCGTACCATTCGCCGCCGCAGCCGCCCTTCTCCTTGCGGCAGGTCATGTGGTTGCATCCGTCCACGCGCGTGGTGGGGATCCCGCAGTGGTAGCAGGGCTTGGAGGTGGCCATCACCAGCCGGATGCTCTCCTGGTCGTCGCTGTTGCGCTGCTGCCACTTGGACAGCTGGTCGCACGTCACCGGGTTGTGGTTCTCCATCCCGCACGCGAAACTAGCGAATATATTCGCCACATTAACGCCCATTAAATATATAAGTAAAGAAAATCAATAAAAATAAAAATGTATGAATAATAAATAATATTGTTGTGTACCAGTATTGGTGGCCGCAGGTGCAGCGCACGAGTTCGGCGGGTCGGCCGACGTCCTCGGTGCAGAGGACCAGGTTGGCGCACGACGGGTTGGGGCACCACGAAAGGTTCTTGGTGTTGTCGACGTAGCTCTTCATCAGGAAGTACTCGTACCGCTGGAAGTCCTCCGGCAGCGCGAGCTTCTTGAAGGCCTTCCTGTTCAGCCTGCACACCATGTTCATCAAATCAACACCATGACACGCGTCATTAGCCCCGTTGCGCGTGCGGTGGTGCATGTGCGTGTGTGCGGTCGCGCGTGTGCGGTGGTGCGTGCGCGTACTTGATGGGGCAGCGAGGCCACATGCAGGTGGAGTTGAGGATGCCTTCGGCGGACGAGTTCTTGACGACCACCGAGAGGTGGTACTGCCAGCAGCCGTCGCAGTAGGGTCCGTGGCCGCAGGCCAGCGAGAACACCTTCGACGCCTTCACGTCGTCGGCGCAGACCAAGCACTCGACGTCGGCGTTCTTGTCCTGCTTCTTCTTTTTCTTCTTCTTGAGCTTGATGCCGACCTCCTTCAGCACCTTCTTCTGCTGGTCCCAGTAGTGCGCGTGCAGCTTCGTCACGTCCCACTTGTAGTACTGGAGCAGGAGGGCCACGTCCCACTTGTTGACGCCCAACTCCGCCGCCACCGAGCCGATAAACTTGGTCTGGAGCTTGCTCAACTCCTGCACATTGTGATGACACGACACACGACACGACACGGACGACACACACGACACACGCAAGCATTGGTGAGGCCTGGAAGAGACGACGGTTTACGGGAAGACGCGCTGCGTACGCTTCGGGTGATGATTTTGAACATCTCCTTGGCCTGCGAGTACTCGGGCTCGGCCTCCTCCCAACCGAGACCGGCGTTGACCTCGTCGTCCGAATAGTCCCCGCCCGAGATGTAGTCCACTGTACACCACACGCACACGGACAAAAAACGTCAGTCGTGTGCCATTGGCGTGTGCGCGTGTGCGGTGGCGCGTGTCATGTGTGCGGTAGTGCGTGTGCGGCACCTTCGGAATCGTCGCCACCTTCGCCGTCGTCGAAGTAGTCATCGTCCTCCTCGTAGTCGTCATCGTCGAAGTCGCTGGCATCGGCCGAGCGCGACGAGGACGACTTCAGCTTGCCCTTGCCCTTGGCCGACTTCTTCTCCTTCTCCTTCTCCTTTGAGTCCTTCGTCTTCTTCGAGTTCTTCTGCTTCTTCTTGCCGCTCTCGCCCTCGCCCTTCTTTTTCTTCTTCTTCGTCTCCGCCACTGCCTTGTCCTTGCCGCCGCCGCTGCTTTCCACCACCTTTACGTCCTTGCTCACATCCGCAGCTAAATAAACAAAACAAAATAAATAATCGTTCAAAACCGCCTATAAAAACAAAAAGTAAATAACAAATAAATAATAAATTATCTACGCTACACGTAAAGTAATAATTGCAAAAAAAGAGAGAAAAGGAACCTTTGGAGGGGCTGGCCGCGGCCTTGGGCGTGGCAGCCACTGAAGAGGAAGATGAAGCCGAGACGAAGGCGGCGGCCGCGGAGGCCGCCGGTGGCTTCTTGGTCTCGCACGCCTCGCAGGCGGTCGCGTGGGCCGGGTTGAAGAGGGTGCACGCGCTACACGACCACTCGCCGTCGGGCAGCACCAGGACCGCCTCGCGCTCCCGCCTCTCCTTCTCTGCAGCTGCGTCGTCGGCGTTGCTGATCTTGCGCCTGGTTGTGGCTGGAGATGACGAAGTAGCGGGAGCTGAGCGGGACGAGCTCAGAGATGATGTGGCGTCACCGATGGCGGAAGTAGCACCGCTCTTGGTAGATGATTTCTTCTTCTTCTTGGTAGGGGTGCTGGCGTCGTCCTTCTTGGCCTTCTTGGTCGATTTCTTTTCCTTCTTCTCCTTCTTCTCCTTGGAAGCAGTGATCGAGGAAGGTGGTGATGATGAAGTCCCGTTCTCGACTGCTCCTTCTACTTGGTCCAGCACCTTCTTCGTCTTCTTGGCTTTCTTTTCGCCCTTGGCCGCCCGCTTCACGCTCCTCGACGACGTAGCGGCATCGATGGCGCCCGATGAGGAAGACGATCGCAGGGAACGTGATTCTACAGCCGACATGTCGGTGGTTGCGGAGGAGTCGATATTGCTTGTTGTGCTGCCACCACTCGACTCGCTGGACATGCGATCGCCCCCTGCCTCCTTTTGACCTTCGAATGCAATTAGCCCTCGATTCAACGCCCTTTTAAAATCGGGAGAAGGCAGGGAATCGAAGTGAGGCACCAAAAATAAAAAATGAGTTTGGTTCCCTGTCAAAAATCGCCTCCCTTTCTTTATCTTTCGTCTCGTACGAGACCACCTCTTCTTCGTGGTTGCTTCGGCTAACCTCCCCTTCAGTTAATGATATGTGTCGACACAAAAATCCACAGAATGTTGAAAATAGCTAGGATATGTTTGGAATGATGTCGACGAATAAGGCAGTTTTCGGTCGACCGTGGTTGGTCACTTTCGCCCGAGAGCACCTCCCATTCATCAGCGCGGGGAGCCCTGTGGACGCGGTTGGGGTGTTTTACGGCAGGATAAATTGTGTTGTTCGTCAACTTCCACACTTGCGGCCACCAGCGAAGAAGAGAGAGCTGCGCACACTCACACCTGCGAGTGTATTACACGCTGGTTTCATACCTTGGCTTTCATCACCATCTCCATTGCACCACAAGAACGAAAACGAAGAAACGAAGAACGAAGGCTTGACACGACAGAGAGGAAGAACGAAGAACGAAGAAGACCCGAACACTTGCCCAACACCAACACACCGCACACACACGGACATGCCGGCAACGACCTCCTTCATGCTCGCCGCAGTCTTATTGTCGGGCTGGCTGGCGGCCCAGCTCGCCGCAGCGTCGGCCATGCCGCCGGTGGCGACCAACTGGGAGGAGAACGTGCTGCGGTTCTGCGACGCGCCGAGCATCTCCAACCTGCGGGTGAAGCTCATCTCGGCCAAGCTGAGCGTGCAGGCCCTCGCCCTCCACAACCATCTGCTGTGCGACGACCTGGCCCGACTGGCCGGGCGGCTGGCCGACTTCAAGGACGACCACCACCTGCCGGCCCAGCTCCGCTCGACCCTCACCTCCTACTGGCAGCTGGTCGGAGCCAACGGCGACGCCTGCACGCGCCAGCGCCAGCTCAACATCTCCTCTCGATGAACCCTCTCGCCAATTTATTTATTTATT